ATTTCTGATACCAGACCCATCCTCCTTTCCCTTCGGGGATCTCTTAACATCAGCGAAAATAAACATTTATGCAACTGCTCCAAATGCTGGTTAGTAGCTATGTGTCTTTGTAAAGTTAGTGTCCCTTTCATTGGGTCATGGCTAGAAAGGAATACAGCTTGTCACATTTATATACATTTCCATAACCTAATTCTCCTTACTTGCTACGTTAATTCTCCAACCTGCTACGAAAAGTCAAATCTGACAAAAGCTGTATCCATTCTAGTCAAAACCCTTTTATTGTACTACGACTAAGGGAAGATAAGTGCAGGGGGTACAATAATCAAGAATCTGCTAATTTAATTAGAGGGAATTCACAAAAAATAATGACATTTTCTAATTCTGCAAACATTTACCAATGGATACTTAGATATGAATAACATTGACATTTAGAGCCAATGAGCTTTCAATATATTCTTAGTATAATTTCACATCCCTTTTCAAAAATCAACATTCATTCTATACAAGAGAGCAATTAAATGTACACAGAAATATAATACAGGACATCATCAGAACAGTGAGAGAAAACAGCCTCATTCATATGAACCTCTCTGGGAATAAACAACTGATGCCCTGTTATTAAGAGGAGCCATGATACTCCATGCAATTTACATCCAAACACACCTGGTGCAATACCACTGATCATTTTGACAGGTTTTGTTGCTTGACGATTTCAGTCATTGTTGGTGTCAAGAAATAGCAACAGACGGTCAACTTTACTGTTGGGTGGGGTGAGAATTAGGGTAGGAGTCTGAACAGGAAATTTGCTGGGGGTAACATCAAGTAAAGACCCATGGGAAATGGAAAGAAACATTTGGATGCCATAGAAGCTTTGGGGATGGGGAGGCAACAGGGAAAATGTTGTGGGGTGGCTTGGGTGGTAGGAGGATGGGAGGGAATGGGTAGATGCAAAAGCAGCTGCGATTGGTTGGATTATACAGACTGGTAGCCGGTGCGACTCTTCCTCCGGCCAATCAAGTAAGAGATAAGCACAAGGATGATTAGGAAGCTGAGGGCCACGCCCACAGCGATGGGCACCAGAAAGCTCAAATCAGAGTCCATGAAGCACTCCACGGCTGCCACAGAGAAGAGACAGAGAAGAAGGGTTAGCAATGTTAGCATGCTAGCGATTAGTCAGCAGAAAATACAGAGTTTTAGTGGAGAGAAGAAACAGGATTTGGTTAAGTCCTTCACAGAGATGGAAAAAATGAGGATTACAAAAAGCAGCAAGACATCAGTTCAGAACCCAGACATATTCATCCACAACAATGGGGGGGGGGGGGGGGGGGGGGTCCGTCAAGAGCATGGGCAGTGATTGCAATTAGGAAAACATTTGGCCATCAGCCATCTATAGTCAACCATGTGATATGAGGAATATAAAAATCAATCAATTCTAATAACACACAGCTGTTACATGCAAAATGTTATCAACTGAGAAAAGCAATTTCTTTAACACAGCCTCTTCTCCAAGTCATTGTTTCATGAGAAAGAGCTTTCCATCAGGTGAATTTCACCATTAAGTTAACTCTGCACAGTATATTAGTTAAATTAAATCAATAATTATCCTGATGACCGAAGTTAAAGCCTCAGCATAGTGAGGATAATTTAGAAGTGTTCATAGCCAGAGCCACGGTTTCGCTTTCTCCCAATGAAATAGGCGATCAATACAATGAGGACCAGCAAAGCCAGGGCAACCCCGACCGCTATAGGAACGAGCCAGCTCTCTGTCGTATCGGCTTGGCAATCCTCCGCTGGGTGACAGTAAAGCAAGTGGGCATATGGGGTGGGGGGGGTGCAGGGTGGAAGAAAAGTAAAACATCAAAATGGTGAATGCACAGTCAATCATACAGAGACGCTTCTCAGTCAACAATAGTTGGAAAACAAAGGAGGGATTTACTAAAATGTCCGGGGAACCAATAACATCATTGTAAAATATTAAAATGGTCCACACCAGTTTTTTTTATGCACAATTTCCATTCCCATTTATTGCAGCTAAAAGTCTATTGAAAAGGAATTCAAAAATGAACATTTGTTTGGAGCCAAACAGGAGAAAAGATAATGTACGCTGAGTTTACAAAACATTATGAACACCTTTCCAATCACAGACGGGCCAGGTGAATCCAGATGAAAGCTATGATCCCTTATTGATGTCACTTGTTAAATCCATTTCAATCAGTGTAGATGAAGGGTTAAAGAAGGATTTTTAAGCCATGGGACATGGATTGTGTATGTGTGTCATTCAGAGGGTGAATAGCCAAGACAAAATATTTAAGTGCCTTTGAACTGGATATGGTAGTAGATGCCAGGAGCACTAGTTTGTGTCAAGAACTGCAACGCTGCTGGGTTTTTCACGCTCAACAGTTTCCCGTGTGTATCAAGAATGGTCCACCACCCAAAGGACATCCAGCCAACTTGACACAACTGTGGGAAGCATTGGAGTCAACATGGGCCAGCATCCCTGTGGAACGCTTGACACCTAGTAGTCAGTCCATGCCTCGACAAATTGAGGCTGTTCTGAGGGAAAAAGGGGTGTGCAACTCAATATTAGGAAGGTGTTCAGTGTATCTTCATTTGAAGAATGGGTCTGTCCTATGATTGGGATTTCCCTTTTCTTAACATGCTGCTTTTTGAATTCATAAACTAGGAGACATTTCTAAGACTAGTGACAAATAGGAGCCAAATAACCCTTTTCTTTAAAGTAAACATATTCAAACCTAATTGAATCTCAAATGGAGCTGCTTCATTGAGCAAGGCACAACATTGTCACAATCATAACTTTTGATCATGTCAAGTGAATGAAAATTGGGGATAGTAAATGTTTTCAAAATGGTAGTTTAGAATTGATTTTATACATGGTCTAAAAAGACCATTTTAAAACCATAGTAACACAAACAGAATTTGTACAAAAGCAGTCAATTTTCCAAGACAACACAACAGATTGTAAAGCAAGAATCAAAAAGATTATATTGGAAAAGGGGAAAAAAAGCAAATCATTCACATATACAGCATCTGAAAAAAAAAGTATTGGTTGACCAATAGAAATGAAAGGCGGCAATCAAATTTATTCATTACATCTTTGTCATTTAGCAGACGCTCTTATCCAGAGCGACTTAAAGTTAGTGAGTGCATACATTTTTTTCATACTGCCCCCCCGTGGGAATCTAACCCACAACCCTGCCGTTGCAAGCACCATGCTCTACCAACTGAGCTACACGGGGCCCATCATGCAGACCGTGATAATACACAGCAACTAGCCATTGTCACCTTTCCTTCTAACAGTACAGAAATATACACAGGTACTGCACATCCTGTGGACAATCATCCTTTCTCCTACTCTGTCGATTGGTGCAACTTACAAGCGGTTAACTGGGCAGGGTTAGAGTCAATGCCATTTCATTTAAGTCAATTCAGGAAGTAAACTGAAATTCTAATTCTAATTTTTCACATGAAAAAGCTGTGAGGAAAATGTGAATTAGAATTTCAGTTACTGAAACAAACTTAATTGAAATGGAATAGACCGGCAGCTTTCGGGAGCAACACCGCAGCAACGGCTATACTATACACAGGTGTAACACTGCAGCACGCATTTTCAATATATGTTGAACTTACTGAGCAATTTTGTGCATTTATATGTTTAAAAGAATATCACCATCTGCAAAGAACAGGTTTGAATGACAGCAAAAAAACAGAGCTATCCCTTTTTTAAACCTGATGCCAACATGTAACGACAGGAGAGGGGTTTTGTGTTACCTTTCTTTTCAGGTTTGTCTTTTACATCCTCAAACTAGGCATGAACTTTTCAAAATTAATTAAACACTTGGTAGATTTCACACTACCCAAAGTGAGCCAGTCAGTCAAAGGGTTAACACAAGTCACAGAGACGGACTGACATAGGTGGCAACCATAATGTCAAGTACTGCTGTGTGTGAACATATAAACGACAGATCCCTTGTTTTGTAAAGTCAATTTAGAGACAGAACTATATGCCAGTAAAACCACCTTTTCTTTTTACCCGAGTTGTGGCCACACAGACTTCAGTCAAGTCATACATTTGCTCATTCAAACTACTGACTGACTAGCGGATGATCAGTAATGGGCTGAAAGAGCGAAGAGCGCAAAGCAGCAGACCTTGATCCTGGTTAGTTAGTAAAAGAGTTCCTGAGCCAAATCAACAAAGCTACTCAATGACGTCTCATTGAGCAGCGAGGCAAATTTGAAATGTTTCAGTCGGTCGAAATGTTGCGCTGCTACGATGAATTGTGTGGATGAATGAAACCACAAGAGGTTGAACTAAAATGTACACAAAAATGAAATAAGAACAAAAAAGAAAAAAAGGAATGCCAAAAGATAGGGAGGGAGCAAGCACATGATACATAGTGATAAGGACACAGCCCCCAATCGTCACAGCTCCTCGTGAAAATGTGCAAACTGTAGCACAAGGACTTTAACTGGAGTTTCTATGAAATGTGCTACTTGATCAAAAGCGTCCCTACCCTGAATGAGAATCATCTGGCAAGTGATACAGATGCAATCACATTAAGAGATCTTTCAATAAATAAGGCCTTTACTGGTTCCAAAGGTTTCGAACAAATTGCACTGGCTAACACAGAGGGCAAATAATCCTGTGCTTGCTCCTTTACAACAAGGGAGAAAAAAAGAAAAAAAGAAAGCAAATCAAACAAAACTGAAATTACAAACAAATAACAGGGGTAGGGTTGTCCAACCTGGTCCTGGAGAGCATTTTTTGTTTTCAGATTTACCTGAATAAAGCTACTCATGCCTGAGCCTAAGCGAAGCTAGACTACTCTCAAGTCTAAACCTAAGCGAAGCTAGGCTGCTCAAGAGAAGCTCTTAACAGTGGCTGAAGTAAGGAGATTATAGTCTAACTACTCCAGTTGTACGAGTCAGTCGTCAATTGAAAGACTGCACCGAGACAGCCATCCAGGATCAGGCTTTGGACCCCCCCCCCCCCCCACACACACAAGGATCAACCTGCGTCCTGGATTCATTATCACAGATTCATGATCACAGATTGCTTTTTAGAGGGTCTGATATCCCACATAGGTCTTCCTACGCCCAATCATGTAAGCAATCACTACAATGAGAATCAAACCGGCCAGGGCGGCACCAACAATGATTGGGATTAAGATGCTGGTGTCATCCAGTGAACATTGATGGGCTGCAGACGAGAGAGAGAATCAATGAGCACAACTTGGAACATCTCATCTTCTCATGATCATTTGGTTGTTAATCAGTTTAAAAAGGGGCAGAAGCATGGCATGATCTCAAATACTTACCCGTTTCTCACCAAACTAGACATGTAACCTATTCTACTGAAGCCCATAATGGTTATTATAGTCCGTCTCAGTTTCAAGCATGTTAGCTGCATTTGACTCTAGTAACCTGTAGCATACGGCTAACAACATAAGGGTAATGACGCAAATTCGCCATCTCAGAAAGTCACCTACCTAAAGCGAATTCGCCTTTGTTGACTTCGAAGGGCTGGACGCGAAGCTCGAAAGTGTAGAGAGTGAGCGTGTCGGTGACGTTTAAGGTCTGCTCCTTGTTGCACATGTAGGAGCTGCCTACCGCCGCCACCCAAACGGACATGTTGGTATTGGCTGCAACGACGGGCGCCCCTGGACATAACACACAGCGTGAGCAAAGAGAGGAGAGAGAGTGCTTTTAATATGCATTGCATATACTGTGCATGTGTGGAGTGTGTAATGTATAGTCTTTATTTATTATAAAACCACACTGTTTCCAAGAAAGATTTCCCCTTGGGGAGAATAAAGTTGATTCTATCTTAACGTCCAACTAGGGACTTGGTTTCTGAAGGGGCTTGTAGTGCATTGTTGCTTACCAGTGGCTGGTTTCACTGTGACGTTCAGAGCGTGCAGGCGGAACTTCTTGCCGTCCTGTAATGTACAAGGAAACACTTATCAGCTTGACTGAAAACAGACCTTACTCTGTATTTGTCCAACTGTCTACACACTAAATGCAGATGAGCAGGATAATACAAGTCTGGCTTCGTCGCCTTACGTTGCTGAACGTCAACATGATGGTGATTGTATCCGATGTCAGTATGAGATCGCTGCTGTTGGCCCTACAGGCTCCGCCCACTTTAGTCATATTGGGCACCAGGTTGATGGTCTCCACTTTCTAATGAAGGGCAAAACACAGGTTGGTAAACAACAACACTAACATACTAGCAACAACAACAACCTATCTTCATACACAAGAAAGTCATGTTCTCTGTGACAAACATATCTGAACCTTTTCCATTGAACAGACTATTGTATGCTAAAATAAGAAACATAAAAATGAAGGGGCTACTTTACAATCGCTATCCTACTTGTATACATACGTCTCCTTGCTTGTAGCCGATCTGCAGGCCGAACGTGGCCATCAGGCAGGCTGTGCTGTTGACGTCGGGTGCGATGCTGTACTTTCCAGTAGTGGGTGTGGGCAGTGTAGGGGTAGAAGTGGGGGCAGCTGTGGTGGTAACGGTGGTGGTGGTGGGCGCCACAGTGGTGGAGGGCATGTCAGCGGAGCATACGGTGTCTGTGTAGGGAGAACAGAGAACACCTATTAAGTTCAGAGAACCAACAGGGTTGGGATCAATTCCATTTCAATTCAGGAAGTAAACTGAATTTCAGTTCACTTCCTGAACTGACCCTTTTGAACTGGAATTGACCTCAACCCTGGAGAACACACAGTAAAATAGTTTGACAGTGCATTCGGAAAGTATTCAGACCCCTTGACTTTTCCCACTGTGTTACGTTACAGCCTTAATCGATTTTTATTATGTTTATGTCGCCCTCATCAATCTACACACAATACCCCATAATGACAAAGCAAAAACAGGTTTTTAGAAATGTTATATTTACATAAGTATTCAGACCCTTTACTCAGTACTTTGTTGAAGCACCTTTGGCAGTGACTACAGCCTCGAGTCTTCTTGGGTATGACGCTACAAGCTTTGCACACCTGTATTTGGGGAGTTTCTCCCATTCTTCTCTGTAGATCCTCTCAAGCTCTGTCAGGTTGGATGGGGAGCACCGCTGCACAGCTATTTTCAGGCCGCTCCAGAGATGTTCAATCAGGTTAAAGTCCAGGCTCTGCCTGGCCCACTCAAGGACATTCAGAGACTTGTTCCGAAGCCACTCCTGCGTTGTCTTGGCTGTGTGCTTAGGGTCGTTGTCCTGTTGGAAGGTGAACCTTCACCCCAGTCTGAGGTCCTGAGCGCTCTGGAGCAGGTTATCAAAGGATCTCTCTGTACTTTGCTCCGTTCATATTTCCCTCAATCCTGACTAGTCTCCCAGTCCCTGCAGCTGAAAGAAATCCCCACAGCATGATGCTGCCACCACCATGGTTCACCATAGGGATGGGGCCAGGTTTCCTCCAGACGTGACGCCAAAGAGTTCAATCTTGGTTTCATCAGACCAGAGAATCTTGTTTCTCATGGTCTGAGAGTCCTTTAGGTGCCTTTTGGCAAACTCCAAGCGGCCTGTCGTGCTTTTTACTGAGGAGTGGCTTCCGTCTGGCCACTCTACCATAAAGGCCTGATTGGTGGAGTGCTGCAGACATGGTTGTCCTTCTGGAAGGTTCTCCCATCTCCACAGAGGAACTCTGGAGCTTTGTCAGAGTGACCATCGGGTTCTTGGTCACCTCCCTGACCAAGGCCCTTCTCCCCCAATTGCTCAGTTTGGCTGGTCGGACAGCTCTAGGAAGAGTCTTGGTGGTTCCAAACTTATTTCATTTAAGAATGATGGAGACCACTGTGTTTTTGGGGACCTTCAATGCTGCAGAAATTTTTTGGTACCCTTACCCAGATCTGTGCCTCGACACAATCCTGTCTCTGAGCTCAACGGACAATTCCTTCGACCTCATGGTAGGACCTTATATAGACAGGTGTGTGCCTTTCCAAATCATGTCTGATCAATTGAATTTACCACAGGTGGACTCCAATCAAGTTGCAGAAACATCAAGGATGATCAATGGAAACAGGACGCACCTGAGCTCAATTTCGAGTCTCATAGCAAAGGATCTGAATACTTATGTAAATAAGGTATTTCTGTAGTTTAAAAAAAATGTGGTAAAATTTCCAAAAACCTGTTTTCGCTTTGTCATTATTGCCTTTAATAATTGAATGTAATCAATTTCAGAATAAGGCTGTAACGTAACAACATTTGGAAAAAGTCAAGGGGTCTGAATACTCCCCGAATGCACTCTATTATGCACAGCAAATCATTATACGATTTTGGCACAGTTGACCTTACAATGGCCTGATGCTCGTTCTCGTACTACCTACCGGTGTCACTTTTGCTGCCGTTAATCACAAACGCCTGTAGAGCAACATCATACAGTGTCTGAATGACAGACTCTGCTTTCAGGACATCTTTGCTCTTGCAGGAGTAGTAGGTGTCCACACCCACGTTGGCGATGATTGGTTTTACCGTCACAGACATGGTTTCTAAACCCAACAGAGATTGTCAAATATCAGTATGTGTCATATCAACTACAGTACCAAATTGGTATATCATGAATTAACAGTATCATGACAAGGCTGTGTAGTTACCGTTTGACGTAGAGTTGGGGAAGACGCTTGTGTCGTTGAGATTGTAGGAGAAGACAATGGTATCTACTTGGTAGGTTTTGTTTTCCTTAGTGAATTTAACAGCCCAGCTGTGTCCGTCTCCAAAACTGAGTTTCAATGTCGATGTTGTGTTATCGCAGGTGCTCCCTTCGGTTGTCACATTTTCAGGCAGTACAAAAATAACAGTTTCACTCTGAAAGGGGACAAATATATTGGACAGTCATTAAGATATTGTGATAAAAGGGGAATCCATTCCTGTCAAGTACTTCCTCAGGAACAGGGCCATTTCAGATGGTTGCATCATGACAAAATAGTACAGTTGACATAACAGTGTGTCCATTCTTTTGATGGATTAGGAGGGAAAATATTTCATTCTGGGACATGTGGGAATTATCTATCATTAATTAACAACCTACAATCATCCAACTGAGATGGGACTTATTAAAAGGAACAAAATCATAAGAAACATTATACAAACGGGTGGGTCTAATCCTGATTGGTTAAAACCGCCTTCCATTCGGTGTCTATTCCACAAGTTACCACCGGCTAAATCTATGACGGTAAAATGCTTATTTGCTCTGTTCCATCTGACTGCGCAATCCACTGTCTCATCAGCCCAGCCAAGCAATTTAGAAACTTCATCTCCACTATAAAAAGCATCTAGATATTATCTAACATTTATTTTAGACTAACATTTAGTTTTCAACAGAGATTTGTCTAAACCTTGCTGTCTGTCACTCCGACATTTGCAACATTGAATTTGAATATTGAAACAATCTCCAGCTGTCTCATAGTAATGAATGTATCAGGAGTCGGGACGAGACAGACAGGCAGTGTTTCTCAGCCAGTCGAAATCATTAAATCAGCTGGCATCATTTTTATGGATATATACAAAGAAATGTCAATTGAAAAAAGGTCAAACGAAACAAAGTGCAGCTAGTTTGCGGTGTTTCCAGCTTCAGTTTGAAGTGATTGTGTTAGCTGTGTTGTTGGCTAGCTCCTATGAACAACAGTGTCCTGACAAGTGAGCACATTTTCTATGCCAGGCGAAATCGCGCCTCATTAGCTCATTATTATGGATGTATCCAAATAAATGTCACTAGAAAACACCTTAAACAAATGCAAATGCAGCTACTTTGCAGTTATTCTGGCTGCAGACTGTAAGTTAGCTGTAGTTGGCTAGCAAGCAAGGGATAAGAACGTTGCCAGCCAGTATGGCAATGGAACATTTAGAAAGAACGACTGGGTCGCGTCCATAGATACAGAACAAAAATAAATAAAAACGACTGGGTTGCGTCTCTAGCAACCGAACCGATAGAACGACCAGCCGGCTTGGGTAACAACCCTAGATTTGTGTCGGGACTATATCTTGTGGAAGGATTAAATAGTATGAATAAATTCATCAAAATAACGTTTTTAATGAAAATATGTCAATCATTATTCAAATATGTTGCTAAATCGTTGTATAAAAATGATAATGCCAGAGAAGCCGGTGTTTGGAGGATATATTGGCACGGTTTGCCGGCCCTCGACTTTGTCTCGGGCCTTACAACACCCGTGCCAATATATCCTCCAAACACCGGCTTCTCTGGCATTATCACTTAATTAGGCTTTTTTATAGCTAGGGACTATAACTTCGACAAACCCTGGTGAAACAAGACAAGCAGTGACAATTACAGGATATTCGACAGGAGAAATCGCAGAAAACTGCTGAACAGACAGAAGACATTTCTTTGCAGTTACTCCCTCTTGTCCCCTCCGTGATTACAATAACAACTTTATTTGTCAAAGTAAGACGCTCAACTCAACACATGAAATGATTTAAGAGTTATTTATAGGCCTAGGTGTACTAACATACAGAAAAACATTTAAAGAAGAGTAAACACACACCTTATTCACACCAACTTCATATGTGACTGAGAAGTTGACCATCAAATTGGCGTAGAGGCACAATTTGTTCTCCGTGTTGTTGACTGACACTTCAGTCGCATGTGATAAGTGGAGTTCTGAAATAAAAATGAACAATCAATCAATAACATAATAATACTTTTAGCAAAAATGTTTATTTTCAATTTACAATCTGTAGAAACAATGAGAATAGAAAGGTTCAGAACTTTTGTAAAACATCACAGTACAGTTGAAAAATATATGGCAAATAGAAATCTAATATGGATGGTGTTAAGAGATAGATGGGTTGTGTTGAATGGAGTTGAAGGATGGGACTAATAACAACTAACAACAACTAACAACAACAAGATAACTAATAATGTAAAGCATACTGTGTCCATAATAAGTATATAGGTTAAGAGCTTTTGTGAAAGAGCACAGTTAGAAAGATATGGCATATAGAAGCAAACCGGATGGACATCATGAAAATGATCTGAGAGGTTGAGGGTAGAGGAAGTTCAGGAGTAAAAACAAACAAAATAGAATTATTGTAAAATTGACTGTGTCCATAAAATGTATATAGTATGTATAAGCTGGAAGTAGAGGCCTAAGCATTGTTGTTCACTAGTTTACTCCAATTAGGGAAGGGGTGGTGGGGTTGGAAAGGGAAATATATAGATTTTTAAAGGATATGTATGTATGTGTATATTTGCGAGAAAAATAAACATATGGGGGATTGGAAGTGATGCAGACAATTACATTGATGGAAGTTACAATCTATCTGCAATATTAAAGCTGATCTACCCCCCCAAAAAATTAAAAATTAAATAATATGAACAGCCTTGTTTTTTTTACAGGGGATCAGTAAAAAAAAAAAACGTTTTCTTGATATGTTATGAGGCAGAATGTTGGGGGACTCCTGAAAACAAACACCATTTCAATCAATTCACAGTAAACACACATTTTATCAGCATAGGTAGCCTAACATGTGTTTTGGTTATTTTCTACTTGCCTGCTATAAGTAGCCCAATGGCATCTAATTATTGTAAAACTCAGAGGTGGCAATGGTGAATGGCTAACAATTTCCAAACCTTCATTGTTGTTAGTGTTCATCCTCTAATCAATCTCACATGGAACTAAATGGGCCCGGTTCCCAGATAGCGACGGAACTTAGGTTTACAATTGTTTTAACGATGCATCGTTCCTACCACGCAGAGAGAACGTTCGCTAATAAGTGTGTCATTAGACCATGTTTCGATACATAGGCTCTGGAAGAAAAAAAAAATGCTGCTCTCGGAACAGCTTTCTCCATTCAAATCTGTAGCTCAGCTGGTAGAGCACGGCGCTTGTAACGCCAAGGTAGTGGGTTCGATCCCCGGGACCACCCATACACACAAAAAAAAAATGTATGCACGCATGACTGTAAGTCGCTTTGGATAAAAGCGTCTGCTAAATGGCATATTATTATTATTATAAATCTTACCTTAACATTAGAATTACTCCACAATACTGATGACGGATCAGCTCCAAGAGTGATATTAGCACCTACGGCTGCAAATATTGAAGTGGCTTATTTTGCTACGGCTGGCCATGCTTTCCACCTGGCTACCACTACCCCGGCCACCAACTCTGCACCCTCCAACGCAACTTGCCCATGCCCCCCCCCGCTTCTCCTTCACACAAATTCAGACAGCTGATGTTCTGAAAGAGCTGCAAAATCTGGACCCCTACAAATCAGCTGGGCTAGACAATCTGGACCCTTTCTTTCTAAAACTAGCCGCCGAAATTGTCGCAACCCCTATTACTAGTCTGTTCAACCTCTCTTTCGTAACGTCTGAGATCCCCAGAGATTGGAAAGCTGCCGCGGTCATCCCCCTCTTCAAAGGGGGTGACACTCTAGATCCAAACTGTTACAGACCTATATCCATCCTGCCCTGCCTTTCGAAAGTATTTGAAAGCCAAGTTAACAAACAGATCACCGACCATTTCGAATCCCACCGTACCTTCTCCGCTATGCAATCTGGTTTCCGAGCTGGTCATGGGTGCACTTCAGCCACGCTCAAGGTCCTAAACGATATTATAACCGCGATCGATAATAGACAGTACTGTGTAGCCGTCTTCATCGACCTGGCCAAGGCTTTCGACTCTGTCAACCACCGCATTCTTATTGGCAGACTAAATAGCCTTGGTTTCTCAAATGACTGCCTCGCCTGGTTCACCAACTACTTCTCAGATAGAGTTCAGTGTGTCAAATCGGAGGGCCTGTTGTCTGGACCTATGGCAGTCTCTATGGGGGTGCCACAGGGTTCAATTCTTGGGCAGACTCTTTTCTCTGTGTATATCAATGATGTCGCTCTTGCTGCTGGTGACTCTCAGATCCACCTCTACGCAGACGACACCATTTTGTATACATCTGGCCCTTCATTGGACACTGTGTTAACAAACCTCCAAACGAGCATCAATGCCATACAACACTCCTTCAGTAGCCTCCAACTGCTCTTAAACACTAGTAAAACTAAATGCATGCTCTTCAATCGAACGCTGGTGGCACCCGCCCACCCGACTAGAATCACCACTCTCGACGGGTCTGACCTAGAGTATGTGGACAACTACAAATACCTAGGTGTCTGGTTAGACTGTAAACTCTCCTTCCACTCACATTAAGAATCTCCAATCCAAAGTTAAATCTAGAATTGGCTTCCTATTTCGCAACAAAGCCTCCTTCACTCATGCTGCCAAACATGCCCTCGTAAAACTGACTATCCTACCGATCCTTGACTTCGGCGATGTCATTTACAAAATAGCCTCCAACACTCTACTCAGCAAATTGGATGTAGTCTATCACAGTGCCATCCATTTTGTCTCCAAAGCCCCATACACTACCCACCACTGTGACCTGTACGCTCTTGTTGGCTGGTCCTCACTACATGTTCGTCGTCAAACCCACTGGCTCCAGGCCATCTATAAATCACTGCTAGGCAAATCCCCGCATTATCTTAGCTCATTGGTCACCATAGCAGCACCCACCTGTAGTCTGCGCTCCAGCAGGTATATCTCACTGGTCATTCCCAAAGCCAACACCTCCTTTGGCCGCCATTCCTTCCAGTTCTCTGCTGCCAATGACTGGAACGAATTGCAAAAATCTCTGAAGCTGGAGACTCTTATCTCCCTCACTAACTTTAAGCATCAGTTGTCAGAGCACCTTACCGATCACTGCACCTGTACACAGCCCATCTGAAACTAGCCCAACCCAACTACCTCATCCCTATATTGTTATTTATTTTGCTCTTTTGCACCCCAGTATCTCTATTTGCACATCTAGCATTCCAGTGTTCATGCTAATTGTAATTATTTTGCACTATAGCCTATTTATTGCCTTACCTCCATAACTTGCTACATTTGCACACACTGTATATATATTTTCTGTTGTATTTTTTGACTTTATGGTTTTTACCCCATATGTAACTCTGTGTTGTTGTTTTTATCGCACTACTATGCTTTATCTTGGCCAGGACGCAGTTGTAAATGAGAACTTGTTCTCAACTGGCTTACCTGGTTAAATAAAGGTGAAATAAAATAAAAAAATAAAAAATGCTTCCCAACAATAATGCACTAAATCAGATTGAGTAGATCATTGCGCACATGTTGTTACACATCATGGCAAAAATTACAGACAGTAGCCTATTGGCAAAATAGAACTAAATTGAACATTAAATCGATTTCAATACGATTGAAATATATATAGGCCCATGTAGCCTATATATTTTTTCATGCAATCATCTTGGTTTTCATTTCAAGCATCTTTTCATCCTTTACTTGATTGTAACAATTGTAAAGACTTTGGCAACTTTATATTTGTAGTAAATATCGTTCTGAAGTTATCGGCAGTCACAGTCAGACAGATAAATATCTTGATTCTATGTTTAGCAGAGATCTTCTATGAATAATGTGACATGGAAGGGCAAAAAAGCATCTAACGACGCACTTAGCTGGTCTACGAGTGGTCTGAGGCAGTCAGTAAATAACAAGCATTTTCAACTGCAACTTTTGTAAGGATTGTTTTGGGAAACAGCTCAGAGATTTAACGATGCTCCTACGAAGGTTCTACCGATGAACTTAGCCTTAAGATGCTTTTGTGAAACCGGCCCTGGTAGGTTATCATGATGAACAATTAGGCTTGACCCTGAGTGACCTGATATCAGAGACCTTAGCTTGCAACAGAGGACTGGGGCCATTTCTCAGACCAACTGAAAACATTCTAATGAAAATGGAAACAAGGAAAAAATGCAAGGAAAAAATGATCAATAAAAAAAAATCTGAGACTTACTGCTGAAAAAAAAACTAGAAGGATTCTGACTGTATTGAATATCAAGTGAGTCCTGGCAACGCCAGGGCAGGAGGCCAAAAAATATCCAGACTATAAAAAAAGATATCCATGGGCTCAAATTCCTTCTATCAATCATAACAAGGAGATTGGTTTATAGACAGCAACTGCTATTGCAATCACTTAGGTAACTGTGCAGGTTTAAAATGTTACTGCAGCTGTTTTACAGTTAAACAACAAGGGCAATCAGCAGATACTTGGTCACGAGACAACTTCCTGGTCAACTCGCTAGCTAGGAAGTTTAAAATCAAGGGCCTATATCATAAATAAGATACAGCTAACGTTACTGACGTGAGTATCCTTAAATGTAAATTTTGCTGAGATTTTGGATTGAACTGGATTTGCAACAGTAACGCTAACATTAGCTAGCTAGTATATTGCATATTGATAACTAAGCAAATGTGGGAGTAGTAGCTACCTAGCAAACTACGAGTTGTGAGTCAACTTCAGTCATCTACTGGCGTCACATGTTGTTCCAAAATGAATAGGGCGAATGAAGCTGGTCGATGTCGTCGTTGACATGTTTGATAATGACACATAAGGACGATATTGCTAGCTAAGCCAAATGAAAGACAATGTCAAACATGTCTTTGTGTGTTTTAGAGACAGCTGTTATTTTCCCTGTCCACCCAGAAGTCATTTCTGTAACATGACCTGTCAACTAAGAGAAAACAGATATTAAAACCACAACTAGCTAGCTAATTTAGCATGACAGGTCAACAGTGCCATAAACTTAATGTCTTAGATTGAGGCCTTGATTGCCGGTAAAGTTGCGTGAAATTCACATGAATTAGTGTGAACTTTTAATTTATTTGTGGAGTTAAACTTAGCTATAGCGAACGTTTGATAGAAAACTAGCTAACTAGCCTAGCTAGCTACTGGCGCAGCAAAGAAATAGCTAGCTAACGTTAGCTCAAGCAATCTGGCTGAAGATAGGCCTGCCGCCTGAAGTGACGGAGCACCGAAAGTTTCCTCTTGTGGCTCACAAAATAACCCAACGATGACACAAAGCAATATTTCGTTCAATTCTGTAAACATACCATTTCCAAGAGCCAGGAACAAAATCAGAAACGCGCAGCGAAACATGACAACTTGGTAGCCAAAACACTTCTTCAGGAAGCGACAACTGCTTACGACTTCAGCTACCTTCCAAGTGCAGCTCGAGCGCGTCGTCTCGTCAGTAACACTAAAAACGTACTTCCGGGTCACGGAATTCTTCTTCTTCTTCGATGAGGTTTAACAGCGGTTGGCATCCAATAAATGTTGCATTACTGCCACCTACTACACTGGAGTATAACTCCCTTGCACTTTGCAAAAAAAAAATACAACAAAAACCCTACCATCTAATATTACACTCACAAAAAATAATAATACCTACCATACTCCACTATTTAAATGTATTTATTCCTACTTCAGGCCAACAGCCTGAAAGGATGGGACACCACCACTTAACACACCCTGTAACTCTTCTGATGTCAAGTCTTGCACACCCAAATACCTCTCTGCAGCTACCACCACAACCTCTATTTTCTGCAACTTACGTTCCATCCCTGCAGTACAGTTGATAACCATTGCTATAAATGCCCAAAATCCAATCTTACTGAAACATATCACTTGGTTGGTTTATCCCTCTGTACTGGTACATATAATAATATAATAATATGCCATTTAGCAGACGCTTTTATCCAAAGCGACTTACAGTCATGTGTGCATACATTTTTACATATGGGTGGTCCCGGGGATCGAACCCACTACCCTGGCGTTACAAGCGCCATGCTCTACCAATTGAGCTACAGAGGACATATCAACTACTCACACCATTCCTCTCAGGATCCCTCCCCCTTGACCAATCTTCCTCTACTTTCTTCACTGCCTCAGCATATGACAACTTCTGCACTACTCTAACCCTGGAAACCTTAACCTGCCTCTCTCGCACCGGACATTTCGGATCCCCAGCCCCATGGGCACCCCTACAATTAACACATACCACTACTTTCCCCAATGCTACACATTCATTTGTCTCATGCCCTTCTGCACACTTCTCACACCAAGGAACATCCCTCCTACACACTGCTGCCACATGCCCATAAGCTTGACACCTGTAACAACATAATGTATTCGGCACAAAAGCTCGTACCGGATAACTTATATATCCTAACATCACTTTGTCGGGCAAAGACTCAACATCCAAACTCAAAAGAACAGACAATGACTCACTCTTCTGTTTCTCCACTCACGCCACCCTGTCTGCGTCGCACCAAACGACGAGCATCACAAACACCGGAAATCTTCCCCTTCAGGTCAGCTTTCACATTTACCGCTACCCCAGTAATCACGCCTTTCAATGGCGCCCTTTTCTTGAGAGCAAAACAATTCACATTTCTTGCCCCCATTCGTTTAACACAGAGCGCCTGCTCCCTCTGACCAGCTGAAACACAAACAATTATCACTAGACCACTTCTGGTTACCCTCACCGATTTCACAGCACCCAACTCTGTTTTCAACCACCCTGAAACCACAAATGGATCAGCCAAAAGGCAAGGGTCCACTTTTTCCAAAAACTTCACTCCTACTGTCAGACTCATCTTTATCCTGACCCTCGGTGCAAACCTCGGGCTCCGAGAACTTCACCACACCTACCACCTCCGATACTTCGCCTTCATTCACTTCAATTTCTCCTCCTGTCTTCAACTCTCTCTGTTTACCCGTTCTTCTTTAACAAACCATCTCCCTTTTTTTCCGCCATTTGTAACTGACTCAAGCTCACCCTCTTCCTCCCTCTCACTCTTAGACCTCCTCTGCCTCTCTTTTTCCCTCCATTCCTCCTCCGTATTCCAAGTATAACTCTCCTTATGATAGTACTGCAATTCTCTTGACATACATCTAGTTCTTGCCTTGTCTAGGGACGATATTTCTCCTCCGACTCTCCCTACTCTTCCAATTTCCCCCACGTCCAATATGATAAATTGTACTGATTTCGTCGTTATGTAGACCCTCAAACACTGAAGTCAGACATGTTTTGTTTTCATGTGACGCGCATCCTTCCTCCTCCCTTGGGACTGTGGCGATTCTGGTCACGGAATTTCGGAACTTGTCCAAATAAAAGTACCCCACGTAATAGTGGAAAAGTGTCCTTAATCTGTGTTTATTCATGATATATTAAAAATAAATTTCTAAACATTAACAATGATTCATATTTGTTCACATTTAAGTGAAATGTGCATTAAATGTGGGGTTTAAAACATGTTCCAGGGTCAAATAAATGCTCCCAATGCAATACACTGTATATTAAATACATATTGGTTTATAGAGAGAAAACGATTCTAGGTGCCAAAGTAAAAGTGGGGTTGGGATTACTGACTAGTGTCTATAGAATCTATATATGGTGTTATTTCATGGGGGACTCTGGTCTAAATACCCACCAACATTTTCTACTCCACCCACTCCATAGCCCCCTGTCACGCTCTGGCTCCGGGACTCTGTATATTGAGCCAGGGTGTGTTCATTCATTGGGTGTATTTCTATGTTGGTATTTCTGTTGGGTTCATTTCTATGTTTGAGATAATGACTCCCAATCAGAGGCAACGAGTGTCAGCTGTGGGCTGGTTGTCTCTGATTGGGAGCCATATTTAATCTGTATGTTTTCCTTTGGGTGTTGTGGGTTTTTGTTCCTTTACGGTCATTGTTACTGTGGACTTTACGAATCGTCTATTGTTTTGGTTTTTGCACTTTAATATAATAAAGTCAATCATGTTCGCTCAACACGCTGCGTATTGGTCTACTCCTTTTGAAGACGATCGTGACAGAAAAACCCACCATACAAAGACCAAGCAGCGTGTCCAGGAACACACGCAGGAGGTGACGCTGGTGGATGTCCTCCTCGGTTGGGGGCAGATTACCGAGGAGGAGGCCGTCCGGTACCGGAAGGCGATGAAGGGGGAGACCCAGGCAGGAGTGGAGAAGCGGCGTCAACCGGGCCGTGGTCGGAAAGGCGAGAGGCACCCCCAATAATTTTTTAGGGGGGGGGCACACGGCATGGGCGACTGGGCAGCAGGAGGCTGCCACAGGGCGGATTGGGAGATAAAGAGAGGAGGCCACCGGCTTTTGGGGGCCAGAAGGCAGGTTGGCGGAGCCTGGATGGAGAGCAGAGCCAACTCCCCGTACTCAGGCATGGCAGCATGAGACTGGGCAGGTTCCGCGGTATGCGGAGATGCGCACTGTGCCGCGAGTGGTCCGGCATAGTCCGGTACGTCCTGTGCGAGCACCCCGCACGTGTTGTGCGAAGGTGGGCATGCAGCCAGGACGGAGTGTGCCGGCTCAGCGCTCGCGGCCTCCAGTGCCTCTCCTCGGTCCCGGATATCCTGTGCCAGTGTCACGTGCTGTTATGCCAGTACGGGTACACAGCCCTGTACGTCCTGTGCTGATGCCTCACACAGAGTGTGTGAAGGTAGGCATTCAGCCAGGACGGGTTGTGGCAGCTCTTCACTCCAGGTCTCCTATCCGTCTCCATAGCCCGGTCCGGCCTGTCCCTGCTCCACGCACCAAGGTGCGTGTTCCTGCTCCACGCACAAAGCCTACGGTGTGCGTCGCCAGCCCAGCCCGGCCTGTTCCTGCTCCACGCACAAAGCCTACGGTGTGCGTCGCCAGCCCAGCCCGGCCTGTCCCTGCTCCACGCACAAAGCCTACGGTGTGCGTCGCCAGCCCAGCCCGGCCTGTCCCTGCTCCACGCACAAAGCCTACGGTGTGCGTCGCCAGCCCAGCCCGGCCTGTCCCTGCTCCACGCACCAAGCCTACGGGGTGCGTCGTCAGCCCAGCCCGGCCTGTCCCTGCTCCACGCACAAAGCCTACGGTGTGCGTCGCCAGCCCGACCCGGCCTGTTCCTGCCACTCGCACCAAGCCAGGGATGCGAGTCGTCAGCCTGGTCCAGCCCGTTCCTGCTACTCGCACCAAGCCAGGGGTGCGAGTCGTCAGCCTGGTCCTGCTACTCGCACCAAGCCAGGGGTGCGAGTCGTCAGCCTGGTCCAGCCCGTTCCTGCTACTCGCACCAAGCCAGGGAATGGAGTCGTCAGTCCGGTGAGGCCCGTTCCTGTTCCACGCACCAAGCCAGGGGCGCGTGTCGTCAGTCCGGCTCCGACCAGCGGGGCTAGACAGGACCAGGGGTACTTTGGGGGGTTGGAGAGGAGGTGGGGATCAAGGCCGGAGCCAGAACCACCGCCGAGGAGGTATGCCCACCCAGCCCTCCCTTGTTTAGCCCTTATTGAGGCGCGGTCGCAGTCCGCGCCTTTAGGGGGGGGTACTGTCACGCTCTGGCTCCGGGACTCTGTATATTGAGCCAGGGTGTGTTCATTCATTGGGTGTATTTCTATGTTGGTATTTCTGTTGGGTTCATTTCTATGTTTGAGATAATGACTCCCAATCAGAGGCAATGAGTGTCAGCTGTGGGCTGGTTGTCTCTGATTGGGAGCCATATTTAATCTGTATGTTTTCCTTTGGGTGTTGTGGGTTTTTGTTCCTTTACGGTCATTGTTACTGTGGACTTTACGAATCGTCTATTGTTTTGGTTTTTGCACTTTAATATAATAAAGTCAATCATGTTCGCTCAACACGCTGCGTATTGGTCTACTCCTTTTGAAGACGATCGTGACACCCCCAATGCAATACATTGTAGGCCTATAAATTACATATTGGCTTATAGAGAAAAAAGTATTCAGATGTAAAATGTATGTATGCCTATGTACAGTGGGGAAAAAAAGTATTTAGTCAGCCACCAATTGTGCAAGTTCTCCCACTTAAAAAGATGAGAGAGGCCTGTAATTTTCATCATAGGTACACGTCAACTATGACAGACAAAATTAGAAAAAAAATTCCAGAAAATCACATTGAAGGATTTTTAATGAATTTATTTGCAAATTATGGTGGAAAATAAGTATTTGGTCAATAACAAAAGTTTCTCAATACTTTGTTATATACCCTTTGTTGGCAATGACACAGGTCAAACGTTTTCTGTAAGTCTTCACAGGGTTTTCACACACTGTTGCTGGTATTTTGGCCCATTCCTCCATGCAGATCTCCTCTAGAGCAGTGATGTTTTGGGGCTGTCGCTGGGCAACACGGACTTTCAACTCCCTCCAAAGATTTTCTATGGGGTTGAGATCTGGAGACTGGCTAGGCCAC